TACAGTGACCTTCTCGGTGGTACAGTGACCCTCTCGGTGGTACAGTGACCTTCTCGGTGGTACAGTGACCTTCTCGGTGGTACAGTGACCTTCTCTGTGGTACAGTGACCTTCTCTGTGGTACAGTGACCTTCTCGGTGGTACAGTGACCTTCTCGGTGGTACAGTGACCTTCTCGGTGGTACAGTGACCTTCTCGGTGGTACAGTGACCTTCTCTGTGGTACAGTGACCTTCTCTGTGGTACAGTGACCTTCTCGGTGGTACAGTGACCTTCTCTGTGGTACAGTGACCTTCTCTGTGGTACAGTGACCTTCTCGGTGGTACAGTGACCTTCTCGGTGGTACAGTGACCTTCTCTGTGGTACAGTGACATTCTCGGTGGTACAGTGACCTTCTCTGTGGTACAGTGACCTTCTCGGTGGTACAGTGACCTTCTCGGTGGTACAGTGACCTTCTCGGTGGTACAGTGACCTTCTCGGTGGTACAGTGACCTTCTCGGTGGTACAGTGACCTTCTCTGCGGTACAGTGACCTTCTCGGTGGTACAGTGACCTTCTCTGTGGTACAGTGACCTTCTCGGTGGTACAGTGACCTTCTCTGCGGTACAGTGACCTTCTCGGTGGTACAGTGACCTTCTCTGTGGTACAGTGACCTTCTCGGTGGTACAGTGACCTTCTCGGTGGTACAGTGACCTTCTCGGTGGTACAGTGACCTTCTCGGTGGTACAGTGACCCTCTCGGTGGTACAGTGACCTTCTCGGTGGTACAGTGACCTTCTCTGTGGTACAGTGACCTTCTCGGTGATACAGTGACCTTCTCTGCGGTACAGTGACCTTCTCGGTGGTACAGTGACCTTCTCTGTGGTACAGTGACCTTCTCGGTGGTACAGTGACCTTCTCTGTGGTACAGTGACCTTCTCTGTGGTACAGTGACCTTCTCGGTGGTACAGTGACCTTCTCGGTGGTACAGTGACCTTCTCTGTGGTACAGTGACATTCTCGGTGGTACAGTGACCTTCTCTGTGGTACAGTGACCTTCTCGGTGGTACAGTGACCTTCTCGGTGGTACAGTGACCCTCTCGGTGGTACAGTGACCTTCTCGGTGGTACAGTGACCTTCTCGGTGGTACAGTGACCTTCTCGGTGGTACAGTGACCCTCTCGGTGGTACAGTGACCTTCTCGGTGGTACAGTGACCTTCTCGGTGGTACAGTGACCTTCTCGGTGGTACAGTGACCTCGGTGGTACAGTGACCTTCTCGGTGGTACAGTGACCTTCTCTGGTACAGTGACCTCGGTGGTACAGTGACCTCGGTGGTACAGTGACCTTCTCGGTGGTACAGTGACCTCGGTGGTACAGTGACCTTCTCGGTGGTACAGTGACCCTCTCGGTGGTACAGTGACCTTCTCGGTGGTACAGTGACCTTCTCGGTGGTACAGTGACCTTCTCGGTGGTACAGTGACCTTCTCTGTGGTACAGTGACCTTCTCTGTGGTACAGTGACCTTCTCGGTGGTACAGTGACCTTCTCGGTGGTACAGTGACCTTCTCGGTGGTACAGTGACCTTCTCGGTGGTACAGTGACCTTCTCTGTGGTACAGTGACATTCTCGGTGGTACAGTGACCTTCTCTGTGGTACAGTGACCTTCTCGGTGGTACAGTGACCTTCTCTGTGGTACAGTGACCTTCTCTGTGGTACAGTGACCTTCTCTGTGGTACAGTGACCTTCTCTGTGGTACAGTGACCTTCTCGGTGGTACAGTGACCTTCTCGGTGGTACAGTGACCTTCTCTGTGGTACAGTGACCTTCTCGGTGGTACAGTGACCTTCTCTGTGGTACAGTGACCTTCTCGGTGGTACAGTGACCTTCTCGGTGGTACAGTGACCTTCTCGGTGGTACAGTGACCTTCTCGGTGGTACAGTGACCTTCTCTGTGGTACAGTGACCTTCTCGGTGGTACAGTGACCTTCTCTGTGGTACAGTGACCTTCTCGGTGGTACAGTGACCTTCTCTGCGGTACAGTGACCTTCTCGGTGGTACAGTGACCTTCTCTGTGGTACAGTGACCTTCTCGGTGGTACAGTGACCTTCTCGGTGGTACAGTGACCTTCTCGGTGGTTTAGTGACCTTCTCGGTGGTACAGTGACCCTCTCGGTGGTACAGTGACCTTCTCTGTGGTACAGTGACCTTCTCTGTGGTACAGTGACCTTCTCGGTGGTACAGTGACCTCGGTGGTACAGTGACCTTCTCTGTGGTACAGTGACATTCTCGGTGGTACAGTGACCTTCTCTGTGGTACAGTGACCTTCTCGGTGGTACAGTGACCTTCTCGGTGGTACAGTGACCCTCTCGGTGGTACAGTGACCTTCTCGGTGGTACAGTGACCTTCTCGGTGGTACAGTGACCTTCTCGGTGGTACAGTGACCCTCTCGGTGGTACAGTGACCCTCTCGGTGGTACAGTGACCTTCTCGGTGGTACAGTGACCTTCTCGGTGGTACAGTGACCTTCTCGGTGGTACAGTGACCTTCTCGGTGGTACAGTGACCTTCTCGGTGGTACAGTGACCTTCTCGGTGGTACAGTGACCTTCTCGGTGGTACAGTGACCTTCTCGGTGGTACAGTGACCCTCTCGGTGGTACAGTGACCTTCTCGGTGGTACAGTGACCTTCTCGGTGGTACAGTGACTTTCTCGGTGGTACAGTGACCTCGGTGGTACAGTGACCTTATCGGTGGTACAGTGACCCTCTCGGTGGTACAGTGACCTTCTCGGTGGTACAGTGACCTTCTCGGTGGTACAGTGACCTTCTCGGTGGTACAGTGACCCTCTCGGTGGTACAGTGACCTTCTCGGTGGTACAGTGACCTTCTCGGTGGTACAGTGACCTTCTCGGTGGTACAGTGACCTCAGTGGTACAGTGACCTTCTCTGTGGTACAGTGACCTTCTCTGTGGTACAGTGACCTCGGTGGTACAGTGACCTTCTCGGTGGTACAGTGACCTCGGTGGTACAGTGACCTTCTCGGTGGTACAGTGATCTCGGTGGTACAGTGACCTTCTCGGTGGTAGTGACCCTCTCGGTGGTACTGTGACCTTCTCGGTGGTGCAGTGACCTTCTCGGTGGTACAGTGACCTTCTCGGTGGTACAGTGACCTTCTCTGTGGTACAGTGACCTTCTCTGTGGTACAGTGACCTTCTCGGTGGTACAGTGACCTTCTCGGTGGTACAGTGACCTTCTCGGTGGTACAGTGACCTTCTCGGTGGTAGATATGTAACCTGACATTCCATCTTGTTATTGAAGGACTAATGTCGACTTTCTTGTAATATCAGATGGTCTTTGTGTGTTTAAATTAGGCAGGGAGGCAGGCAGGCAGGCAGGCAGGCAGGCAGGCAGGCAGGCAGGCAGCAGGCAGGCAGGCAGGCAGGCAGGCAGGCAGCAGGCAGGCAGGCAAGCAGGCAGGCAGGCAGGCAGGCAGGCAGGCAGGCAGGCAGGCAAGCAGGCAGGCAGGCAGGCAGGCAGGCAGGCAGGGCAGGCAGGCAGGCAGGCAGGCAGGCAGGCAGGCAGGCAGGCAGGCAGGCAGGCAGGCAGGCAAGCAGCAGCAGGCAGGCAGGCAGGCAGGCAGGCAGGCAGGCAGGCAGGCAGGCAGGCAGGCAAGCAGGCAGGCAGGCAGCAGGCAGGCAGGCAGGCAGGCAAGCAGGCAGGCAGGCAGGCAGGCAGGCAGGCAGGCAGGCAGGCAAGCAGGCAGGCAGGCAGGCAGGCAGGCAGGCAGGCAGGCAGGCAGGCAGGCAGGCAGGCAGGCAGGCAGGCAGGCAAGCAGGCAGGCAGGCAGGCAGGCAGGCAGGCAGGCAGGCAGGCAGGCAGGCAGGCAGGCAGGCAGGCAGGCAGGCAGGCAGGCAGGCAGGCAGGCAGGCAGGCAGGCAGGCAGGCAGGCAGGCAGGCAGGCAGGCAGGCAGGCAGGCAGGCAGGCAGGCAGGCAGGCAGGCAGGCAGGCAGGCAGGCAGGCAGGCAGGCAGGGAGGCAGGCAGGGAGGCAGGCAGGCAGGCAGGCAGGAGGCAGGCAGGGAGGCAGGCAGGCAGGCAGGCAGGCAGGCAGGGAGGCAGGCAGGCAGGCAGGCAGGCAGGCAGGCAGGGCAGGCAGGCAGGCAGGCAGGCAGGCAGGCAGGCAGGCAGGCAGGCAGGCAGGCAGGCAAGCAGGCAGGCAGGCAGGCAGGCAGGCAGGCAGGCAGGTAGGCAGGCAGGCAGGCAGGCAGGCAGGCAGGCAGGCAGGCAGGCAGGCAGGCAGGCAGGCAGGCAGGCAGGAAGGCAGGCAGGCAGGCAGGCAGGCAGGCAGGCAGGCAGGCAAGCAGGCAGGCAGGCAGGCAGGCAGGCAGGCAGGCAGGCAGGCAGGCAGGCAGGCAGGCAGGCAGGCAGGCAGGCAGGCAGGCAGGCAGGCAGGCAGGCAGGCAGGCAGGCAGGCAGGCAGGCAGGCAGGCAGGCAGGCAAACAGGCAGGCAGGCAGGCAGGCAAGCAGGCAGGCAGGGAGGCAGGCAGGCAGGCAGGCAGGGAGGCAGGCAGGGGGGCAGGCAGGCAGGGAGGCAGGCAGGGAGGCAGGCAGGGAGGCAGGCAGGCAGGCAGGCAGGAAGGCAGGCAGGCAAGCAGGCAGGCAGGGAGGCAGGCAGGGAGGCAGGGAGGTAGGCAGGCAGGGAGGCAGGCAGGGAGGCAGGCAGGCAGGGAGGCAGGCAGGGAGGCAGGCAGGGAGGCAGGCAGGCAGGCAGGCAGGAAGGCAGGCAGGCAAGCAGGCAGGCAGGGAGGCAGGCAGGGAGGCAGGGAGGTAGGCAGGCAGGGAGGCAGGCAGGCAAGCAGGGAGGCAGGCAGGCAGACAAGAAAGCAGACCAACAGGGCGACACAGGCATAAAGGTGTATATTCATCATATTCTCTATCATTACCTAAATAAAATCCTGGACAACCCTAGCATGAACACCCATTGTGAGACCAGGTGACCAATGACCAGCAGGTGACCGCGTGTTCGTGTCCGCAGATCACCGGGTGACGGGGTACAAGGTGGCCCTCCACAGCCTGTGGACCAATGCGGCTGTGGTGACGCCCATCAGGTACTGGACCCACTGCTGCTTCGCCGTCGACCTCGCCTCCGGCAACTGGTCGGTCTTCCTCAACGGTGAGAAGGCTGACTCTGGGGTCCTGCCTCCAGACCTGGGCGCTCTGGAGGGTGGCGGAGTCCTGGTAGTAGGTGAGTACATGAGAGAGAGAGAGAGAGAGAGAGAGAGAGAGAGAGAGAGAGAGAGAGAGAGAGAGAGAGAGAGAGAGAGAGAGAGAGAGAGAGAGAGAGAGAGAGAGAGAGACAGAGAGAGAGAGACAGACAGACAGACAGACAGACAGACAGACAGACAGAGACAGACAGACAGAGAGAGACAGACAGACAGAGACAGACAGACAGACAGACAGACAGACAGACACAGAGAGAGAGAGAGAGAGAGAGAGAGAGAGAGAGAGAGAGAGAGAGAGAGAGAGAGAGAGAGAGAGAGAGAGAGAGAGAGAGAGAGAGAGAGAGAGAGAGAGAGAGAGAGAGAGAGAGAGAGAGAGAGAGAGACAGACAGAGAGAGAAAGTGAGAAAATGAAAAAGCAGTTTGAACGGTAACTAACACAGTTTAAGACGCTCAACTTTCTTAACAAACAATACATTAGCGCCTGTCATCACTCACATAAACTCAAAACATCATTTCTCAAGACAGTAAAACAAGACCTTAAAATGTCTCAAAACGAAGCAAAATATTCTGACAGCAAAGCAAAAGAAAAGAAATTAATTACATAAAAGTCCACAAAACTTTTAAGGTGTTCATAATGGCACGTTAAAAACAGTCGTAGACCACAGTGATCATCACACCCCCAAGGTATACTTGATTAACCCAAAAGTATACCGTAAAGCAGTGAGTGTACATCATCTGAATTGTCGTGATCCCTGGTCCTGGTTCAAGGCTAAGGTATTGCAGCTGTTATATCATAACTGACGTTACAGCAAGTCTGAGATGCCGTCAACACGATGGGTGACTGTACTGAATGGATGACCTGGGGGGGGGGGGGAACAGATGGGTGAGGCACCAGCTGCTGCTATATTTAAGACATTCTCCACACAATGGCTGTCGACTGCCAGGTTGACGATGACTTCCTCAGTGTGTTTGTGATGGTTTGTGTTTGTTGTGTGTGTGTGTTTGTAGGCGCCTATGTGTGCTATTGTTTGTGTGTGCGTGTTTGCAGGTTATTGTGTGCGTGCACCAGCCTTTGTAATTGTTTGTGTCAGCGTTTACCCTCACCTAATTGTGCTTGCGAGGGTTGGACTTCATTTCTTCGGTCCCGCCTCTCATGTCTTAATTAATTCATGCACAGGTTTTCCAACCTGTTGGAGTTTGTGACAGGTTCATAGTACATTCCATTTGTTAACTACACTGAAAATTATTTTTTGTAATGTCTCTGTGGCTCATTTGAGAGGTTACTTTCCACCTGTGTCACCTTAATCCCTTGCTACAACTGCTAATTGTCTGGCCTGGTTAGAGACCGGGCCGCGGGGTCCTTGGCCCCCGGAACCAACGCTAGGTAGGCCTTGTCTACCTGTCTATTTCACTTAAAATTTTGTATGTCGTAATCACGTCTCCCTTTATCCTATTGTCTGACAGCGACTCGAGGTTAACTCCGTATAGACTTTCTCGTAGCTCATGCCTCTCAGCCCTGGGACCAGTCTCGTGGTATTCCTCTGAACTTTCTCCAACTTTTTTTTTGTTTAACACGAGACAAAGACTTCACGCTGGAGCCGCACATTCCAGAGTTGGTCTGACATATGGAGTATGCAAGATCCTAAACAACACCTCCCCATATATATATATATATATATATATATATATATATATATATATATATATATATGTGTGTGTGTGTGTACTCACCTATTTGTGCTTGCGGGGGTTGAGCTCTGGCTCTTTGGTCCCGCCTCTCAACTGTCAATCAATTGGTATACAGGTTCCTGAGCCTACTGGGCTCTATCATATCTACATTGTAAACTGTGTATGGAGTCAGCCTCCACCACATCACTGCCTAATGCATTCCATCTGTTAACTACTCTGACACTGAAAAAGTTCTTTCTAACGTCTCTGTGGCTCATGTGGGCACTCAGTTTCCACCTGTGTCCCCTTGTTCGCGTGCCACCAGTGTTGAATAGTTTATCCTTGTCTACCCTGTCAATCCCCCTGAGGATTTTGTAGGTAGTCATCATGTCTCCCCTCAGTCTTCTGTCTTTCAGTGTCGTAAGGAGCATTTCCCGCAGCCTTTCCTCGTAACTCATGCCTCTTAGTTCTGGGATTAGTCTAGTGGCATACCTCTGAACTTTTCCAGCTTCGTCTTGTGCTTGACAAGGTACGGGCTCCATGGTGGGGCCGCATACTCCAGGATTGGTCTTACGTATGTGGTATACAAGATTCTGAATGATTCCTTACACAGGTTCCTGAACGCTGTTCTGATGTTAGCCAGTCTCGCATATGCCGCAGACGTAATTCTTTTTATGTGGGCTTCAGGAGACAGGTTTGGTGGGATATCAACTCCTAGATCTTTCTCTCTGTTCGTTTCATTAAGTACTTCATCTCTCATTCTGTATCCTGTGTCTGGCCTCCTGTTTCCACCGCCTAGTTTCATTACTTTGCATTTACTCGGGATAAACTTTAGAAGCCATTTGATGGACCATTCATTCAGTCTGTCTAGGTCGTCCTGTAGCCTCCTACTATCATCCTCTGTTTCAATCCTTCTCATAATTTTTGCATCATCAGCAAACATTGAGAGGAACGAGTCTATACCCTCTGGGAGATCATTTACATATATCAGAAACAGTATAGGTCCAAGGACTGACCCCTGAGGGACTCCACTTGTGACGTCACGGCAATCCGAGACTTCACCCCTCACAGTGACTCGTTGTCTTCTGTTGCTTAGGTACTCCTTTATCCAATGGAGTACCATCCCTTTCACTCCAGCCTGCATCTCCAGCTTTCTCACTAGCCTCTCGTGTGGTACTGTATCAAAGGCTTTCTGGCAATCCAAAAATCCACACACACAATGTGTGTGTGTGTGTGTGTGTGTGTGTGTGTGTGTGTGTGTGTGTGTGTGTTTACTAGTTGTGTTTTTTTTTTACGGGGGTTGAGCTTTGCTCTTTCGGCCCGCCTCTCAACTGTCAATCAACTGTTTACTAACTACTTTTTTTTTTTTTTTTCCACACCACACACACACCCCAGGAAGCAGCCCGTGACAGCTGACTAACTCCCAGGTACCTATTTACTGCTAGGTAACAGGGGCATTCAGGGTGAAAGAAACTTTGCCCATTTGTTTCTGCCTCGTGCGGGAATCGAACCCGCGCCACAGAATTACGAATCCTGCGCGCTATCCACCAGGCTACGAGGCCCCCATGTGTGTGCGTGCATGTGTGTGTGTGTGTGTGTGTGTGTGTGTGTGTGTGTGTGTGTGTGTGTGTGTGTGTGTGTGTGTGTGTGTGTGTGTGTGCGTGCATGTGTGTGTGTGCGTGCATGTGTGTGTCTTTCATTAAATATGACTGCATATTCAGTGTTGATTATTTTCCTAATTAGGGTTTCTATCCCTCTGACTAGTGCTCTTGCATCTTGGTTTAAATTAATTAGAAGATAATATCTATAAAAATTGTTTTGTCTGAGACTGACTAAAAGAATAAAAGTTAACTGTAGAATGTATTACACTTATTATCAATTTATACAAAGTTTCGAACCTACATGGGTAATTCTCAAGTGAGGAGACAGTATTGATTGATTGATGAAGATTAAGCCATCACAAGTTGTGGGACCCCACAAGTGACCCTTGGTGTGGTGTTGGCAGGTCAGGAGCAGGACGTGTTGAGTGGAGGCTTCCAGCCAGAGCAGAGCTTCAGCGGAGAGTTCACCGAACTCAACATCTGGAGGGAGGTCCTGGAAGAAGACTCCATCAGACAGGTGAGTTTCCAGTCCTACTATTTACGGATTCCAGTCACGCTCTTCGGGGCGTCCAGCCTCGCTCTTCGGGGCTTCCAGCCTCGCTCTTCGGGGCTTCCAGCCTCGCTCTTCGGGGCGTCCAGCCTCGCTCTTCAGGGTTTCCAGCCTCGCTCTTTGGGGCTTCCAGCCTCGCTCTTCGGGGCGTCCAGCCTCGCTCTTCGGGGTTTCCAGCCTCGCTCTTCTTGGCTTCCAGCCTCGTTCTTCGGGGCTTCCAGCCTCGCTCTTCGGGGCTTCCAGTCTCGTTCTTCGGGGCTTCCAGCTTCGCTCTTCGGGGCTTCCAGCCTCGCTCTTCGGGGCTTCCAGCCTCGCTCTTCGGGGCTTCCAGCCTCGCTCTTCGGGGTTTCCAGCCTCGCTCTTCTTGGCTTCCAGCCTCGTTCTTCGGGGCTTCCAGCCTCGCTCTTCGGGGCTTCCAGTCTCGTTCTTCGGGGCTTCCAGCCTCGCTCTTCGGGGCTTCCAGCCTCGCTCTTCGGGGTTTCCAGCCTCGCTCTTCGGGGTTTCCAGCCTCGCTCTTCGGGGTTTCCAGCCTCGCTCTTCGGGGTTTCCAGCCTCGCTCTTCGGGGTTTCCAGCCTCGCTCTTCGGGGTTTCCAGCCTCGCTCTTCGGGGTTTCCAGCCTCGCTCTTCGGGGCGTCCAGCCTCGCTCTTCGGGGCTTCCAGCCTCGCTTTTCTTGGCTTCCAGCCTCGCTCTTCGGGGTTTCCAGCCTCGCTCTTCGGGGCGTCCAGCCTCGCTCTTCGGGGCGTCCAGCCTCGCTCTTCGGGGTTTCCAGCCTCGCTCTTCGGGGTTTCCAGCCTCGCTCTTCGGGGTTTCCAGCCTCGCTCTTCGGGGTTTCCAGCCTCGCTCTTCGGGGCGTCCAGCCTCGCTCTTCGGGGTTTCCAGCCTCGCTCTTCGGGGTTTCCAGCCTCGCTCTTCGGGGTTTCCAGCCTCGCTCTTCGGGGTTTCCAGCCTCGCTCTTCGGGGTTTCCAGCCTCGCTCTTCGGGGTTTCCAGCCTCGCTCTTCGGGACGTCCAGCCTCGCTCTTCGGGGTTTCCAGCCTCGCTCTTCGGGGTTTCCAGCCTCGCTCTTCGGGGTTTCCAGCCTCGCTCTTCGGGGTTTCCAGCCTCGCTCTTCGGGGCTTCCAACCTCGCTCTTCAGGGTTTCCAGCCTCGCTCTTCAGGGCTTCCAGCCTGTACTCCGAGACCTCGGAATAAATTAGAGTCTAACTTCAGGGTTGAAATTTAATCCTGTGGTAAACATTGTAAATCTTTTACGGGACTTTGGGTTAGTTTTTTTATGTATTCCAGAATACTTTACAAGGTTGTTGCTTGAATTTGTGGAGGACTCGGCCATGTTTATGGCGGTCAAATCTTATTATTTTTAGGCTCCAGACTATATTTCAAAAAGGTTTTCATATACTTTAGAAGAGAGAGAATGAGAGAGAGATCCCACATCACACACATATGACTTAATAGCTATTCAACACGGACCGAAACATGGCACTTATATTCCATTTCAGGTGTGTGGCCAGGTTATAATTTCAGGTATGTTGTTGTGGCTTGTTCTCTTGTTTATACCTGTCCACTCGGTTGCGTGTGAGTTTCAGGTATGTTTCCTGGAGTCCAGTTTATCATCCAAGATTCCACCGTTGTTTACAAGGGTGTGTTTCATGTCGTTGAGTTGAGGATTATTTCAGGTTAGTGTTGATGTGAGTTTATCACCCATTTTTCTACCCCATTCTTCACCTCTTCCCCATTCTTGTTCTCCCTGTTATTTACATGCTCCCCATCCACCCTACCCATGCCCCTGCCCCCATCTTACCCATGTGTGTTGTTGAGGCAACACGGCCGCTTGTGGTAGACAGTAAGTTGTCTTGTCTGAGGTAATGAGCCCATCCCTGTCTGTTTAACCTGACCTTAATTATATTGTCCAGGTTAACCTGACCTCCTGCTTCCGTGTATCTCTCTTTCTCTCTCGCTCTCTGTCTGTCTCTCGCTCTCTCTGTCTCTCTCTCTCTCTCTCTCTGTCTCTCTGTCTCTCTCTCTCTCTCTCTCTCTGTCTCTCTGTCTCTCTCTCTCTCTCTCTCTCTCTGTCTGTCTGTCTCTCTCTCTCTCTCTCTCTCTCTCTCTCTCTCTCTCTCTCTCTCTCTCTCTCTCTCTCTCTCTCTCTCTCTCTCTCTGTCTCTCTGTCTCTCTCTCTCTGTCTCTCTGTCTCTCTCTTTCTGTCTCTGTCTGTCTGTCTCTCTTTCTGTCTCTCTCTCTCTGTCTGTCTCTCTCTCTCTCTCTCTCTCTCTCTCTCTCTCTCTCTCTCTCTCTCTCTCTCTCTCTCTCTCTCTCTCTCTCTCTCTCTCACACACACACATTACCACATTACCCTAAGGGTAATTAAAGGTGTTAAGGGAAAGTTCTGTGTATTACACTCTCAGATCACACCAGAGTTCCTGTTGTCACAAGACATACATCTCGGCTTAACTGTTCACTAACCTAACTAACCTAACCTAACCTAACCTAACCTTACTATATTTTAATAGTATATCGAGCATGTGATAATAAGGGACATTAAGGTTAATTGTAACCCCATGACGAAAAGTGAGATTATTAAAGAATTTTAATAATCTCACTTTTCGTCATGGGGTTACAATTAACCTTAATGTCCCTTATTATCACATGCTCGATATACTATTAAAATATAGTTCCAATAATAGTTCTTTTCACGTTGACGCGTTGCAGCTGGCAGCGTGCGTGGTGTACGTGGAGGGCGACGTGCTGGGCTGGTCCCGCCAGTCGTGGCAGACGCTGGGAGGCGTGTCGTGGGTCAGCAGGCCCCGGGACGCCGTCTGCGACCACTCCACCAGGAGGCTCACATTCTTCCCCCACCGGTACTCTCTATCCCAGGCCAGACGTCTCTGTCAGGTAGGTGTCCGCCCCTCCAACTGGTGTTCTGTGTGGTCTAGGGTCCACCGCTGGTGTTCTAGGGTCCACCGCTGGTGTTCTAGGGTCTACTGCTCCAGTATGGGTGATTACGTCCTGTATCTATATATATATCTATAAAAGACAATGTCTGTCTATTTGTCTGATGTTGGAGGCCAGACGCTCAGGGCCAGTCTCACAGGATGTTGCAAGGTGATTTGTGATTGGCTGGGGATGTGTCGTGTCTGGAGTGGACCCTCAAGTCCGCCCTTAAGAAGGAACGGCTTCTATTCGGTATTTCAGAGATTTGTACGACATCTGAAATGGGGGTTTAGTTGTCCATAGAGTTTTTCTGAAGATTTTTCAACCCACATAACTACAACGTTTATTAACAACGTTTTTACAACGTTATTAAGAACGTTGTAACAACACAACGATGTTACAACGTTTGTTAAAACATTATTATAACCTTTTTACAATGTGGCGTCAAAGTAGCAATTGTAAAGATAACATTGTGGGTTACAGTGTGTTTGTTGAGACTGTTTGTTCTGAGTAAGAGGGGGGGAGGGAGGAGAGGGAAGAGGGGGAGGGGAGAGGAGAGAGAATGTGAAGAGGGAGGAGGGAGACAACGAGAGGTGGTGAAATAGGAATATGGAGAGAAGAGTTAGAAGGGAATTGAAATGGGAAGGAAGTTGGAGAAGAGAAGAGAGGTATGGGACACACCCGGCCTCCTCCAGGTACCCCTTATAGCCACGAAATATATATATATAACTGCCAATAAATGACATTTTAAATCCTTTACCATAAAAATGTCTAACTTCAAAGCGTTAGATATTTTATATATCATATATCTATATTTTTTATATATTAAAGCGTATATATATATATATATATATATATATATATATATATATATATATATATATATATATATATATATATATATATATATATATATATATATATATATATATGATCCCGCCCCTGTCTGTTTAACCTGGCCATAATTATATTGCAACAACGAGCACACATATAACATATATATATATATATATATATATATATATATATATATATATATATATATATATATATATATATATATATATATATATATATATATATATATATATATGCAACAACGATCACTAAAACGCTGATCCAAGTATGCGGGAAAACCACATTTGAAATATTAGAGAGTGCTGAATGCGCTTTACACTCAAGTCGCCTTCATCAGAACACGATAGAAAGTCAAGGTAAATAGTCAAGTTCACGTTAAAGCTTTCCTGTATCGTACGAAGAATACCTTCAGGCTCGCTAGCAATCTTTGTTACGCTTAGTGACTCTATGTCCAGGTGCTTGACACAGGTGCTTGACACAGGTACTTGACACAGGTGCTTCACACAGGTGTGCGACTAACAGGTGTCTCCTACAGGTGGTGGGCGGGCAGGTGGGGGTGCCACTGAGCACATCAGAGAACACGTGGCTGTACCAGAGGACGGTGGAGAGTGCAGAGTACTGCTCGGGCGGGCACGGGGCAGCCTACCTGTGGCTGGGTGCCCACGACCAGCACCAGGTAACACCATCACACTCATCATACATCCTGACTCATCATACCCACGTGTATTAAGCTAGTCAGCAAGTGAGAATTTCATTATAATCTCATGTGTTGATGAGTAAGGTCGCCTGTACCATCGCTGGGTACAAAGAACTAAGTGTTTGGAGGGAAATGATCCGGACACCCAGGAGTCAGTCAGTTCAAATTGTTGTTGTCACCTTTGATGTGACCTTTGATGTGACCTTTGATGTGACCTTTGATGTAAACAAACAATTTCATTGGTTCTTTGAGTCCCGGTAGAACAGTCGGGTTCATTCTCGATTCAAAATCACAAATTCTGGGTTTGAATCCAAGGCAGGACGGAACTGCTTGGGCGTATTTCCTATCACCCACTTCACCTGTTCACCCAGGAGAGTAAATAGGTACCCAGGAGTTAGTCAGCTTGTTGTGGGGTTGCATTGTCGAGGGGGGGGGGGGTCAGTAGTGCCACCTTTTGGAGAGGGGGGGGGGGAAAGGACCCCCCTCCGTCGGTCGAAGTAGTGACCTTCCCCAGAATGCTTCCCACAACAGTCGTCTTACTCCCAGGTACCTATATACTGCTAGGTGAACAGCGGTATTAGGTGGAAAAAACCTGCTCAGCTATTTGTGCGCTGCCCGGGTTTCGAACCCGGGATTCCCGATTGTGAGTCGAGAACGAACCCACCTGTATATTACACTCTACCATAGAATGAAGTATACTGTCTCGTAGATGAGCTTTGACAGGTATATTCCTTCTAATAACCTTTTCCTGAGTATACCCCTTGCCTATATGTTATCTTGACACCCAATAGCCAATACCGCATAACATTTGCATATATTATTTTGTCACTGTTGACTGAACGCTGACAAGAACACAAAATAATCACAATGGCGTCATATATCACCCGATTTTTCTCACAGGAATTTAAATCAGCTTCCCCTGTGACAGTCGGGCGTGTATCAAATTTTGTATGAAATCTCTATTGTTTAATAAAACTGAGAAGAAGAGTTAGTGCCTTGGAAAAATATATGGCTTAGAATTTGTCACATATATACTTATTTATAAGGGAAACAGTGACTATAAGCAATAAGTCCTATATGTGCTATCTTGTGCGAGAGCGGGTTGGTGTGTGGGACGCTCTGCTCCCTCAGGAGGAGGCGCTGAAGCAGGGTATATAGCCCTGTAACCTTAGTTTGTGACCTGCAGGAGCGGCAGTGGGCTTACTTCTCCGGGGCCCCTCTCCAATGGGAGGGCCCCTGGAGGGGCACGGGACCCAACGGCGAGGGAGCGGAGAATTGCCTGGTGATGCTCTACGACGAGTTCCCCGCCCGCTGGTCCGACATCGCCTGCCTCGACTCCTACACCTTCTGCGTCGCCTGCGAGTTTGTTCAGCGGTCCACGCTACACCTTCGGGGCCCCGGCGTCTGTGACTCCTCCCCCTTCAACAGGGAGTACATACTCGAGGGCGAGAGTGGAGGACGACCCGCACTCTCCGGGTTCTTTCACTCTGATATAACCTGGGACGCCCAGGCTGGGCACTGGGAAATGACTTCACTCAAGGTACTGCTCAAGCAACTCCCAGTTACTGTATTCACATTATAGTTCTCCTTGTTTATATAATGCGCTTTTAGACCGTCAGTTGTCTTGCTTCTCGTGGGTCAATACTGGCTTGCTAGCACCTTGCTTTCTGGACCACATCACCGGTCGTGGGGTCACTGGAGTGTTTCAAGCGTAGGCTAAACATACCTGAATGAGTTTGGGTGGATGTAAATAGCAGCTGCCTTGTATGGGCCAATATTAGGAACTGCCTCGTATAGACCAATATCCCTTCTGTAGTTCCTTGTAATTCTATGTTCCTATGTTGTTATTCAGGCGGTTTTCACAATGTGTAATGAAGTGGTTTCGTGTAACCGGAAGCACAGGTATTCGGACAACCAGTTTAACCTGAAATGCTTTTGTAATATCACTAAAGCACCGGAATATTGACGTCGTAATTAATAGCGTCATAATTGCTGTCCATTAAACAGGAGAACAGGATGGACATTAAACTAATACTACTATATCAATAATGATCACATAATCAAAGTGCTTTCAATCAGTAACTAATGTTTCAGGCCAGAGCACAGAGGCATCACATTAACCTGAGATATCTATGGGAAAATACGGAGGTTCGATCAGATCGTAAAACCTCAGTATTTTGTATTTCGCGGCAGACACTACCCAGGTGGCATCGAACTGGAGCAGCACACAGCCTTGCCAGCCACCCAACTGGCCAGCGAACGTGCGGACTGAACTATAGACCAGGAACAGTTAAGTCATAATAGTAGGATGTATCAGCGAGGACATTTTTCGGGAGCTTTTCAATGCAATCACACTTGGGTGCATCCGAAGTCACCCAGCGTGTGACTTCGATTCAATCGTATTGCTAAAAAAACCATATCATGCATCATATTAATATAATAATAAGATAAGAACAATAAAGGCAACTGGAGTAGACCTTCTGACCCATACGAGGCGGCTCCTATTGCCCCTTTCCCAAGTAGCTTGTGTTTATATCCACCAAACTCATCCATACACATGCCAGACCTGCTGGGAGTCCTCACAGTTCACCTGGTGATTATTCCAGGTCCCAGGAGCTGTGGCCCGCTGGACGCCCGTCACCAGCGACCAGTACCCCTTCGGCACCAAGCCCTGGACGCTGGGCCAGGACGTGTGCGGCCTGCGTGCCGGCGACCAGGTCAACATGACCCTCTCCGTGTGTCGCCAGGGACAGTTTACCTGCGCCGACGGCACCTGTATCGACTTCCAGAGGCGCTGTGACCTCCACGAGGACTGCCCAGACCACAGCGACGAGGCACAGTGCTCCACGGTAGTGGTGCCCGATGGGTACCGTGCTTACCTGCCCCCTCCCCCACCTACCCCACAGCACCCCCTCCCAGTCACCTTCTCCATCAATGTCATCACTTTCCCTTCTATGATGGCCAACGACCTCACCTTCACCACCACGCTGCAGCTTCGCCTGGCCTGGAGGGACAGTCGACTCAGATATCTGAACCTGAAGAAGGACTCCAGTCTCAACCAGCTGTCGCGGGAGGCCGCCGCCGGCTCCATATGGACTCCTCGAGTCTTCTTCAAGAACGCTCACGGCAACGTCTTCAGCACCCTCGGGGAGGGCGCCAGGGTCGAGTGCCTCAGAGAGGGTCAGCCTCAGGTCGGCGCGCCTGACCTTCCTCAAGAACGTAAGTGACTTTACGTGACCTGTCCTTAAATTATGTGACCCCAAATGACCTGTCTTCCAACTCAGTAACCTCAGATACCGTGTTCTGAAACTATATGTGGCCTGACCACAAGACTTCTCCTTAACCTTCATAACCCCACATGATCTGTACTGAAACTAACTCCCCAGATGACCTTTCTTCAACCAACGTGATTCCATATGGCCCTTTTACAACCTTTGTGACCGCTAATGACCTGCCATGACACTCCAGATGTCCTCCCCCTCAAACTAAATGACCCCAGATGACCTTTCCTATAACTAAGTAAACCCAGCTGACCTGTCTTTAATCTACGTGACCTCAGATGACCTGTCCTGAAGCCACCTGACCCCAAATGACCTCTCCTCACACGGAGGACAACACACACACAATTTCCCTAATGAAATCATGGTTTTCATTAGGGAAAAACATTAATAATCTTATCAGTTTATTTAAATTAATAATTTCCTTCTTATTTCAATAATTTTCTCCCACAATAATAATACTCAGGAAACTGTGATCAATATTCAGATTTTCCTGAGTGTTCAGAACTTCGTTCAGTCAATGTTTTTGTGAACATTTCTGAACTTCATAATGTTTAGTGGGACTTGACTCGTTCAACCCCCCCCCCCCCCCCCCCCGCAGCTTAGTGGTCTACGTACGCTGCTCGCAACCAAACACGATCCTGGGTTTGGTCCCCGCGCAGGACATAGACGGTTGGACACGGTTATTTCCACCTGATGCAGTAAATAGGTTCCCGGGAGTCAGGCAACTATTGTGGGTTGTATTCTGGGGAAAGTCAGTAGGTAGACTAGGGGACGAGAGGGACGCTAGGTAAACCTAACAGTCTTCCTGCCTCAGACTAAGGTAAACCATTAAACCATGAGGCAAGAGTGATTATATCTGTTACCTCAAATGTATTCACACAAAGTCATCACCGAGCCAGCCAGGGTTCAGCAAGTATTTATACATGTCTGCTTACGAAACATATACATCTTTCCTCAGTCATGGCGGCTTTGTTTACGTCTCAAAAACAGTGTAACAGCTTGGGGGAAACTCGATTATTATTATTTTTTCTTATCTATCCCATCTCTCCTGTTCATTCATGCCCCTCTGCTCCGGCTCCTAGCGTGTTGTTGTACTGTGGATGTGGGTCATGTGTCCGGGTTGACGGTGGGTCAACAGGTGGGGTAAGTTGGAGCACACTGGGCTCCTCTCACCAGGACCTCTTCACCTGCCTCGACCTGACTCTTCCTTCTCGACCTTTTCTTGACCTGCCTCTGCCTTCTCGACTCTTTCTCTACCTTGACCTTGTGGTCTTCCCTCCCCTCCATAGTGGTTATGAGCGGTGTACACCTGCCTATAGTGTGGCACTCTGCCTGTGCCCATCAGGACTGGAGGGGTTGACCACGGTCCTATGTCAAGGGATTTAGACATAGATTCTGCGATTGGCTCCTTGGATGGGGGGGGGGGGGGTGCCAGGGGCGTGGCCAGAGTGCCTTAGAGGGCGGGGCTTAACAGCAGTTTCCCCTATAATTAATCTTTGAGTATAGCATCTTAGATTGACTTGTCTTGGGTATTACAAGTGATTCTCTAAGTGCAGTAATAACATCTGTAATTGCCAACAAGTACAGTAATTGATAACTTAGAATTATTCTCAGTAATTATCAACAGTAAGTTGGTCTTAATTCATGTTTTCTTGTTCTGGTCAAAGTCTAAGACGAATTTGTTAATAAAAATGAGTCTTACTGCAAGGGGTGGGTAGTGTGGGGGGGGGGTCTATAAGACCTCAAACACCAGGTTGAGGTCTTATAGAGTTATCCCCTGAGGCGTGATGTTCAGATATTGTGTTGATGGTGGGTTGTAATCACACTCACACTTACACTCACATTATCACTCACACTCACACTCACACTCACCAGGCAGACGGGTCTCTACTGTCAGGGTGGACGGACAGTGGTGTGTCAACATGGGGTATATACTTGCTACTAAAGATCATTATTAATGTTACAAAGAGGCAGAGATAGTATGGACTCTATTACTAAATAAAGCCGTTACAACAGTTTACAACCTTTCACCCGAGGTTATTGTAATGGACAACCTCGTAGTGCCAGGTTGACTGTAAACCATTTGGCGAAAGTAAACCCAGCAACCATGACTGAGGAAAGATGAACAGGTTTCGTATGCGGATCATTAAATACTATATATTGACTCCTCTCTCCCCCGTTCCCTCAGAGCCACCCGTCCTCTTAAAAATAACGTCACTTTTCGCTGGTATGCGCGCTATGGCCAAATTTGGACGTAATTTGAAATGAAATCGACTCACAAAAGTGACGTACGGTTCCGTTTTCTGTTTGAGTCGTCCGGCTTACTCGGCAAGCTTAGAAGAGTATTCTTTCCATTAACGTTTTTCATACCGTTTTGAAACTTTATGAGAATTTCCTGCCCACCTAACCTATCAGAGGATCCTTAACTTACTGTTGTTGAAAAAAAATCCAAAATTTATATTAATTTTTTTTTTCATTTTCAAATTACGTCCATATTCGGCCATACGGGCAAACGGCCAAAAGCGACGTTCTTTTTAAGAGGACAGGTGCCACCCCATGTCTCTCTACCCCCATCTCCCACCTATCTACCCCCATCTATCCCTCTCCCTACAGGATACATCTACACAGGGTCGGAGAACACCCTGCAGATGACCCAGGTGTACTCGGCTGCCTACACCTGCGATTTTCACCTGGGCATGTTCCCCTTCGATGTTCAGGTGAGCCCCCCCTCCCTCACCCACCCTCCCCAGATGACCGGGAGATGACAGGGATGCTGTGTTATTCTCTCTCTCTCTCTCTCTCTCTCTCTCTCTCTCTCTCTCTCTCTCTCTCTCTCTCTCTGTCTCTCTCTCTCTCTGTCTCTCTCTCTCTCTCTCTCTCTCTCATCTTTCCCCGCTGTTTATCTTCCATTTTGCATTCTGCCTTCTCTCTCATCTCTTATTTTCTCTTAATTTGCCTCCCATTTCTCCAACCTCTCATTTCCCATTCTCTCTTCTACATTAGCCATTCCACATAACCTACCTTCCCTTTCTCATTCCTCTCCCACTGCTCATTCCCTCTTCCCCATTCTCAACTGTTTCCCCTTCCCGTGGAAAACCTTTTCAGTGGGAGGAATTGTGGGATCATAGAACCCCGTGGCCGCCAGATCCCACAATTATTGCCCAAAAATCCCTATAAAAGTGATGATGTTTTCCCAATTTGGTTCCACTGATGGCAGCTGTAGAGTCAGGAAGTGTTCCTTGAGGTGTCTATTTCAATGATTTCTCTATATCCAAGATCGCTCTCTATTGTCATGAACTATTTCTATTGTAACACGGGTTAGGGTTCCTCTCTCTTTACTTATCTTCCTTCTTTGCCCTCTCTACCCGTATTCTTACTTTTTATTCTCTACCAAGGGACTCCAAAACTTTTACCAAAGCCAACTCCACGCCACGTGGTCCTAAGACGATTGACCGACTTAGGATTCTACACCCAGTATGACGTGACCTAGGCTTTGAGCAAAACCCTAGAGTCGCCTCTACGCTGCCACCACCAGACCAGTAACACAGAGCAATGATCGAGGTCTGGATCGATCACGCTAATTAATCAACCTTGGGGCTTGATCCCCACTATAACCGATGACCGTGAAAACTTAAGAGTGTGAAATTAATTACACGGGAATGATTCGATGTTAGAATCGGCGCCCAATCCAACTCTACCTCGTGTGGACCACGTGACCAGGACAAGTATACACATAAAACACATGGAAATAATAAAAATGCAAAATACTAACAAATTTAATTTATTAAAAGAAAAACTAAAACAAAATCTAAATATGTTCACTCCCTGTCACTTTAACACTCCCTACTTGACCTGAGTGGCAATGAAGACTATTCCTATACATAACCATAGCAACTATACCTTGGGCAACCAGCTAAAGATGTTGGGCTGGTCTTGGGGAGAGGTAAGATGGTTGGCCTCTTATCCCCGTTGCTCTGGAGTCCACACTGATCTGTCCTCGTCTGATCTAGCCCAGACTAGAACATTGTATTGTTCCGCATCGCTTACCCAGTTACTTTAGCAAGGTTAAGTTATAACAATTAACCTCTGTTTGTACTGAATTGATCCAGACTGGTTGAATTATTTTACTGAAATTAAATTACACAAACATCTAACGGCAGAGCTGTTCCCGATCCCCCAAAATGGTTAATTGAACTTTGAGAAATAGTAGACCTGTCAACCCTGATGACCTATGACCGCCGGTCACTCCGCCTTACAAGTTAGATCTGATTCGTGACGTCACTGATGGTGACTTAAACTCAATAATTAGAATACTCTTGATATTGTACCCAGTACTATTATACAGTACAATTTTAATACAAAATGAATAAAGGCTAATTTCTCTAAATTACTGAATACTATAGGATGGTTCATTATACAAAACTATGAACAAAGATGCCCGCCATTTGTGACTCAGACCTGCTAATTCCCAGAGGAATGTGTGTTGTTGAGGTCAGGTCCCTACTCTAAACTTCTGGAACCTTCTGGAATAATTCTTACAACAGCCTAGTTTGTTACACTATGATATCTATTTCCATGCTTTCTTTTTTGACTAATCTATTTCCTTTACATTTTCATTAATTGGGCTAAAAAAAATTCCTAGCTCTTCATTTCTATGATCTTTCTATTTCTGCTATCAGTTTCTTTTCTCTCTCTATTTCCATGATATATCTATATCCACGCTGTGCTTCCGGCAACCAGTTCCTGCAGTTCTACCCATTTATTTGTGCTGCCCTCTGCATTTATTTATTTATTTATTTATTTATTTATTTATTTATTTATTTATATATATACTAGAAGGTACACTGGGATTGTGAGGATACATAGCATAGTAATTACATTCTTGTAAAGCCACTAGTACGCGCAGCGTTTCGGGCATTTGTGTATATCATTTGTATAGTTCTCATTTCCAGTTGGCTGTTGAGTTTGATATCATGTGGGAGGTTCTCTTCACAGTGGTAACTGATCCCATAACATACCCACATACCCTTGTTAAATATTAAATGACGATTGGGTACAAGGGAATATTCGGTGCACCGCCGGCCGCACTCTCACCTGGGCCTCCTCCTCCTCCTCCTCCTCCCACAGGTGTGCACTCTCAACTTCACCCTGATGTCTGCCTCCTCCCAGCTGCTGACACTCCAGCCGGGCCAGGCCATCTACTCCGGCACCACCCAGCTCCTCGAGTATACTGTTGGTAGGTGTGTGTACTCACCTATTTGTGCTTGCAGGATCGAGCATTGACTCTTGGATCCCGCCTTTCCAGCCATCGGTTGTTTACAGCAATGACTCCTGTCCCATTTCCCTATCATACCTAATTTTAAAAGTATGAATAGAGCTTGCATCCACAACCTGTTCCCCAAGTGCATTCCATTTTTCCACTACTCTCACGCTAAAAGAAAACTTTCTAACATCTCTGTGATTCATCTGAGTTTCCAGTTTCCACCCATATCCCCTCGTTCTGTTATTATTACGTGTCAACATTTCATCTATTTCCACTTTGTCAATTCCCCTGAGTATTTTATATGTCTCTATCATATCTCCTCTCTCCCTTCTTTTCTCTAGTGTCGTAAGGTTCAGTTTCTTCAGACGCTCTTCATATCCCATCCCTCGTAACTCTGGGACAAGCCTCGTCGCAAACCTCTGAACCTTCTCCAGTTTCCTTATGTGTTTCTTCAGGTGGGGGCTCCATGATGAGGCGGCATACTCTAAGACTGGTCTCACGTAGGCAGTGTAAATCATCCTAAAAGCCTCCTCACTTAGGTTTCTGAATGAAGTTCTAATTTTCGCCAGTGTAGAGTACGCTGCTGTCGTTATCCTATTTATATGTGTCTCAGGAGTTAGATTAGGTGTCACATCCACTCCCAGGTCTCTTTCTCGAATCGTTACAGGTAGGCAGTTCCCCTTCATTGTGTACTGTCCCTTAGGTCGCCTATCACTTGATCCCATTTCCATAACTTTACATTTACTGGTGTTGAACTCCAATAGCCATTTCTCTGACCATCTCTGCAACCAGTTTAAGTCCTCTTGGAGGATCCTACAATCCTCATCTGTCACAACTCTTCTCATTAATTTTGCGTCATCCGCAAACATAGACATGTATGATTTCACTCCTGTAAACATATCATTTACGTAAATTAGGAAGAGGATTGGGCCCAGCACCGATCCTTGAGGTACTCCGCTCGTTACTGTTCGCCAGTCCGACTTCTCGCCCCTTACCATTACCCTTTGGCTCCTTCCTGTTAGGTAGTTCCTCACCCATGCTAGGGCCTTTCCGCTTACTCACAATCTTTTCACACAATCTTCTCCATCAACTTGCATAACTAGCTCTTATTGATAGGACGGGGACGGGGACGAGACGGGATGAAACGGGAACGGGGACAAGGACCGGTCCAAGCACACCCAGCACCATATAACTCCTCCTGTCCTTTTGACAGACGGGGTGACGATGCAGACGGGCCGGGAGGGCCACCAGTCCACCATAGCCGTCAGGATCCGGTTCTCCCGTCGCTGCGGCTTCTACATCCTCACCGTCTACCTCCCCACCACCTTCATCATGGTGGTCGCTTATTCCACCTTCTTCTTCAGACTCTCCAACTTCCTCGCTCGTATCGTGGTGGCGCTCCTCACCCTCCTCGTCCTCTCCTCCGTCTACACACAGGTGAGTTACTGGTCTGTCTTATATCCCTGTTGTTAGTCTGTCTTATATCCCTGTTGTTAGTCTGTCCTATATCCCAGCTGTTAGTCTGTCTTATATCCCTATTGTTAGTCTGTCCTATATCCCAGCTGTTTGTCTTTTATCCCTGTTGTTAGTCTGTCTTATATCCCAGCTGTTAGTCTCAAATATCCCAGCTGTTAGTCTGTCTCATATCCGTTGTTAGTCTGTCTCATTTCCCAGCTTTTTTTCTGGGATATAAGACAGACTAACAGCTGGGATATAAGACAGACTAACAGCTGGGATATGGGTAGACTAATATGAAATCATCTACATTGTGATAACGAGACTCGGTTGATGATATATTTATTATTAAGCCTAACTTTAAGGTCAGGTGACATGATAAGAGAGATGCCGCCATATATCAACATGGCGGGACCATCAGTTAGATGCTTCCAGTTTAGATATTAGACAGACTAAATACAAGACCAGCCTGGGCCATGATTCATCAAGCATTTACGTAGCCTGTACATCTTTCCCCAGTCATGGCGGCTTTGTTTACATGTATTAAACGGTTTATGTGTTGGGCAGCACTACGGAGTTGTTTATAATGATATTAACCTCGGGAAAGATGTAGCGATTTCGTAAATGTTGAGGCATGGTGGCGGTGGTGGTAATACCTTGTGCTCCTGGTGGGCAGACGACGAGTGGGCTGCCCAAGACGGCGTACCTGAAGATGCTGGACGTGTGGCTCTTCTTCGCCATCGTGGTCATCTTCGTGGTGGTGGTGTTCCACGTGATGATCGAGTACACGCTCGCCGACCCCCAGCCCCACGCCACCAGGAACTGTGTCGCCAACGGTGTGGCTCATGGACTGGCCAATGGTGGCCTCACCAGGGTGTGTATTGGGGTGGGTGTGGCCGTGTATGTGTTGGTGTGGGTGGAGGGGGTTCAGGTGTGTGTGTGTGTGTGTGTGTGTGTGTGTGTGTGTGTGTGTGTGTGTGTGTGTGTGTGTGTGTGTGTGTGTGTGTGTGTGTGTGTGTGTGTACTCACCTAGTTCTGCTTGTGGGGACTAGGCTCTGGCTCTTTGGTCCCGCCTCTCAACTGTCAATCAACTGATGTACAGGTTCCTGAGCCTACTGGGCTCTATCATATCTACACTGTAAACTGTGTATGGAGTCAGCCTCCACCACATCACTGCCTAATGCATTCCATCCGTTAACTACTCTGACACTGAAAATGTTCTTTCTAACGTCCCTGTGGCTTATTTGGGTACTCAGTCTCCACCCGTGTCCCCTTGTTCGCGTACCACCCGTGTTAAATACTTTGTCCTTATCTATCCTGTTAATTCCCCTGAAAATTGTGTAGGTGGTGATCATGTCTCCCTGAGCTCTTGTGTGTTCCATCGGCAGAGTGGTAGTGAGTGGGGGGGGGGGAGTGAGTGTGAGTGACGGCAGGGATACATTCCACACCTGCTTGACTTCTAAACTTACCAGTCACGTCATGGTGACGCTATAGGCAGTTCCTGAAGGACAGCTCTCAAGCCTGAGTTAATCACATTCAGTTTTTCTTATTATTTTATTCCGGTTGTGTCTGTACCAATAATAGTAGATCTAGGGTCATTTTTTGTTCCAGCTTGAACATTTCCTGGAAGCTTCCATTGAACTCTTCTGCACACACTTCCTTATCCTTCTCTGTGTGGCCTCCTCTATTGCGTAGCCTGATCACTTGTTCATTTACCAATATCTTCCTCCTCCTCATGTACCTATATATAGTAATTGAGGCTGATCCTTCAACCCGTCCTCTTAAAAATAACGTCGCTTTCCGCTCGTATGCGCACCATGGCCAAAAGTGGACGTAATTTGAAATGAAATCGACTCACAAAAGTGACGTACTGTCCCGGTTTCTGTTTGAATCGTCCGGCTTACTCAGAAAGGTTAGGAGAGGAAATTTTCAATTAACATTTTTCATACAAATTTGAAACTTTATGAGATTCCTGCCCACCTAACCTACCAGAGGACCCTTAACTTACTGTTGTTGAAAAAAAATCCCAAATTTATTAAAAAAAAATCATTTTCAAATTACGTCCACTTTCGGCCATACGGGCAAACGGCCAAAAGCGACGTTATTTTTAAGAGGACAGGTTGGATCCTTGCCCTTGGAGGCTACGTCGTTCTCATACTACTTCTCTGCTCCTCTACCACTTCCTGCGCATTAACACCTCTCTCTTGTATGTATATTGTGGTTCTCCTCTATTCTGTGTTCCTCTATTTCTTCCATGCTCTTTATTTTTCTTTCCTGCTACCAAACATTACCTGTAAAATCATGACCAATATTTCCTCTCTCTCTTGGTTCTTTTATACCATAGTGGCAGAATAAGTCTTCTTCAGGTCCACGAGGCCTTGTGTTCTGTTCTCTTAGTTCTGTTTCCCGCGGTGTTCTCTCTAACCCCTTGGTTCTCGTTTTTATGGACAGCTGCAGTCTTCCAGTCTTATTCTTTGCCACAGCCTTCATAACAATGGGGGGGGCAGGGGGACATTTGACAAGCCGCCAGCTTCCTGTCCAGGTCGAGGCCACTATAGGGATGGTGGCCATAAAGTCAGTTCAGGTGAATTGTCAAGACCAATGGCCCCGGCCCTTGCTGGTAGCCTGCTTCCCTTCGTGTTTCCTCCCTTATATCTGGCGATAGGAAGTTCCTCTATGTTACCTCTACCAGTTTTGCTCTCCATATTCTCTGTGAATATGTCTGTGTCTGTTAGTGTACTTATGTATGCATAATTCTGAGAGCATGACCGTGTCTGTTAATATACTTATGTAAATATCTTCCTTTTTGTAAGTATACTTCTGTAAAAGTTCCTTTTTGTGAGTATACTTCTGTAAAAGTTCCTTTTTGTAAGTATACTTTAATAAATGTTCCTTTTCGTGAGTATACTTCTGTGACTATGGCCCTGTTTGTGGGTATATGTATATCTCTGTGAGCATGTCCCTGTTGATGAGTATGCTTCTGTGAGTATATCTTTGTTTACCCAGGGATGGCAGGTATCCCTGAACACAAAAACTCTAGGTAAACTGACCCAATAAGTCCCCCAATTCTCCAATCTGTTTTTCCCTAAAAATTCTAATGGGGACAGGTCCAGACGACCGGGCAGCGGGCTCTATCCTACAAGAACGGGCTAGCAGGCACAGACCCCGAGCCTCTGGAGGACTATCCACCTGTGAGACGACCAGACTATCCTGGAGGACCCAGGCCACTCCCTAACCACCTGCTGATCCTCATGGCTGGCAGGATATCCGTTCCGGTCACCTTCGGGATCTTCAACATTGTCTACTGGGGCTCGGCGATGGGGTAGGTCTAGCACGCGCTTGTGGCGGATTGTTTACATTCTCAGTTGTTCATTCTTTGCTCCGGTATATTGTATTTTAAAGTGGTTATCATCCCTATATCTATCCATCTTTGTTTATAAACTCATGGACGGACCAGAAAATAAACGTTAATTAGTAATTATTCACTCATTCTCGTATTATTTTCATTCGTACAGGGAGGCAGAAGAGAGTCCAACCTAACACACAGGAGTCAACCCCCGTCTCAGACAGACAGACAGACGTAACAAAATGCGTCGCGATAGATACAAATTATTTTAAGACAATTTTATATGCACATTGCATTGGGCACTTAGCAACTTTTCTAATATAAATGTAACATAAAAAATATATTTAGAAAAATTTTATCTCAACATTTTAGAGAATAGGGTATGGGTAAGAGTTGCTTGTGATGTATAAGGTACAAAGTATTCCATAATGGGATCAGGTTATCTTGAGATGGGATCAGGGTATCTTGAGATGGGATCAGGGTATCTTGAGATGGGATTAGGGTATCTTGAGATGGGATCCGGGTATCTTGAGATGGGATCCGGGTTCTTGAGATGGGATCAGGGTATCTTGAGATTGAATCAGGGTTCTTGAGATGGGATCAGGGTATCTTGAGATGGGATCAGGGTATCTTGAGTTGAGATCAGGGTATCTTGAGATGAGATCAGGGTTATTGAGATGGGATCAGGGTTCTTGAGATGGGATCAGGGTTCTTGAGATGGGATCAGGGTATCTTGAGATGGGATCAGGGTATCTTGAGATGGGATCAGGGTTATTGAGATAGGATCAGGGTATCTTGAGATGGGATCAAGAGCGCCTTGAGCTGGGATCAAGAGCGCCTTGAGCTGGGATCAGGGTTCTTGAATCTTGAGATAGGATCAGGGTGTCTGGAGATGGGATCAGGGTTCTTGACATAGGATTAGGATTCTTGAGAAGGGATCAGGAGCATCTGGAGAAGGAATCAGGATTCATGAGATCAGATCAGGGCTTTTGCGATGAGATATGGGTTCTTGAGACGGGATTAGGATTCATGAGATGGGATTTAGGTTCTTGAAATAGGATCAGGGTTCTTGAGATGGGATCAGGGTTGTTAAGATGGGATCAGGGTGTTAATGTGGACACGATGTTTTGAGATGCGATCAGGATATCCTTAACGGTGTTTAGGGCATCCTGGAAGAGGTTCCAGGCATCCTGGAAGAGGTTCCAGGCACACAAATGTTTCTACACAACTCCATAATGACCTGACACCCCCCCCCCCTCCCTAAACAAATTTAAGGAATAGGTTTTAAAAGGAAATTGAATATTTTTTCCCCAGCTGAAGTGTAAGTCATTCATGTACATACTATCGTGGAAATAAAGCTGGACATTGATCTATGTATTATTTCACCTAATTTTTTATGGAGTTTTATATATATATATATATATATATATATATATATATATATATATATATATATATATATATATATATATAATGTCGTACCTAGTAGCCAGAACGCACTTTTTGGCCTACTATGCAAGGCCCAATTTGCCTAATAAGCCAAGTTTTCCTGAATTAATATATTTTCTCTAATTTTTTTCTTATGAAATGATAAAGCTACCCATTTCATTATGTATGAGGTCAATTTCTTTTTATTGGAGTTAAAATTAACGTAGATATATGACCGAACCTAACCAACCCTACCTAACCTAACCTAACCTATCTTTATAGGTTAGGTTAGGTTAGGTAGCCGAAAATGTTAGGTTAGGTTAGGTTAGGTTAGGTAGGTTAGGTAGTCGAAAAATTAATAATTCATGAAAACTTGGCTTATTAGGCAAATTTGGCCTTGCATAGTAGGCTGAGAAGTGCGTTCTGGCTACTAGGTACGACATATATATATATATATATATATATATATATATATATATATATATATATATATATATATATATATATATATATATATATGTAACCGAGAGAACAATTTGGAACTAGACAAACATAGGAGCCACAAACATGTCAGAATAAAGTTTTACAGTGTAAAAGTGCACAAGTGGCGCCGACCAGATGAGGAAGTTGTCGAGTCATGTTCGTGACACAACTTTACATATAAATATGATAAGAAACGAGTGAGCCGAAAAACTGCATTGATCTAATGGTCGCGGTGCTTAGGAACATATGCTCGACCCAGCATGCTCAACTAGGTGAGTACACACACACACACACACACACACACACACACACACACACACACACACACACACACACACACACACACACACACACACACACACACACATACACACACACACACGCTAATGGAATGCATTAGGCAGTGATGTGGTGGAGGCTGACTCCATACACAGTTTCAAGTGTAGATATGATAGAGCCCAGTAGGCTCAGGAATCTGTACACCAGTTGATTGACGGTTGAGAGGCGGGACCAAAGAACCGAAGCTCATCCCCCGCAAGCACAACTAGGTGAATACAGTGTACACCCTGGGGTCCACACAGGGTACACCCAGGGGTCCACACAGGGTACACCCTGGGGTCCACACAGGGTACACCCAGGGGTCCACACAGGGTACACCCAGGGGTCCACACAGGGTACACCCAGGGGTCCACACAGGGTACACCCTGGGGTCCACACAGGGGTCCACACAGGGTACACCCTGGGGTCCACACAGGGTACACCCTGGGGTCCACACAGGGTACACCCAGGGGTCCACACAGGGTACACCCAGGGGTCCACACAGGGTACACCCAGGGTACACCCAGGGGTCCACACAGGGTACACCCAGGGGTCCACACAGGGTCCACACAGGGTGCACCCTGGGGTCCACACAGGGTACACCCAGGGGTCCACACAGGGTACACCCTGGGGTCCACACAGGGTACACCCAGGGGTCCACACAGGGTACACCCAGAGGTCCACCCAGGGTACACCCAGGGGTCCACCCAGGGTACACCCAGGGGTCCACACAGGGTACACCCAGGGGTCCACACAGGGTACACCCAGGGTCCACACAGGGTACACCCTGGGGTCCACCCAGGGTACACCCAGGGGTCCACTCAGGGTACACCCAGGGGTCCACACAGGGTACACCCAGGGGTCCACCCATGGTACACCCAGGGGTCCACACAGGGTACACCCGCGGGTCCACACATGGTACACCCAGGGGTCCACACAGGGTACACCCAGGGGTCCACACAGGGTACACCCAGGGGTCCACACAGGGTACACCCTGGGGTCCACACAGGGTACACCAGGGGTCCACACATGGTACACCCAGGGGTCCACACAGGGTACACCCGCGGGTCCACACAGGGTACACCCTGGGGTCCACACATGGTACACCCAGGGGTCCACACAGGGTACACCCGCGGGTCCACACAGGGTACACCCTGGGGTCCACACAGGGTACACCCTGGGGTCCACACAGGGTACACCCTGGGGTCCACACAGGGTACACCCAGGGGTCCACACAGGGTACACCCAGGGGTCCACACAGGGTACACCCAGGGGTCCACACATGGTCCACACAGGGTACACCCTGGGGTCCACCCAGGGTACACCCAGGGGTCCACCCATGGTACACCCAGGGGTCCACACATGGTCCACACAGGGTACACCCAGGGGTCCACACATGGTCCACCCAGGGGTCCACACAGGGTACACCCAGGGGTCCACACAGGGTCCACACAGGGTGCACCCTGGGGTCCACACAGGGTACACCCTGGGGTCCACACAGGGTACACCCAGGGGTCCACACAGGGTACACCCTGGGGTCCACACAGGGTACACCCAGGGGTCCACACAGGGTACACCCAGGGGTCCACACATGGTCCACACAGGGTACACCCAGGGGTCCACACAGGGTACACCCAGGGGTCCACACATGGTCCACACAGGGTACACCCAGGGGTCCACACAGGGTACACCCAGGGGTCCACACATGGTCCACACAGGGTACACCCAGGGGTCCACACAGGGTACACCCAGGGGTCCACACAGGGTACACCCTGGGGTCCACACAGGGTACACCCAGGGGTCCACACAGGGTACACCCAGGGGTCCACACATGGTCCACACAGGGTACACCCAGGGGTCCACACAGGGTACACCCAGGGGTCCACACATGGTCCACCCAGGGTACCCCCCGGGGTCCACACAGGGTACACCCAGGGGTCCACACAGGGTACACCCTGGGGTCCACACAGGGTACACCCTGGGGTCCACACAGGGTCCACACAGGGTACACCCTGGGGTCCACACAGGGTACACCCAGGGGTCCACACAGGGTACACCCAGGGGTCCACACATGGTCCACACAGGGTACACCCAGGGGTCCACACAGGGTACACCCAGGGGTCCACACAGGGTACACCCTGGGGTCCACACAGGGTACACCCAGGGGTCCACACAGGGTACACCCAGGGGTCCACACATGGTCCACACAGGGTACACCCTGGGGTCCACACAGGGTACACCCAGGGGTCCACACATGGTCCACACAGGGTACACCCTGGGGTCCACACAGGGTACACCCAGGGGTCCACACAGGGTACACCCAGGGGTCCACACAGGGTACACCCAGGGGTCCACACATGGTCCACACAGGGTACACCCTGGGGTCCACACAGATTACACCCAGGGGTCCACACAGGGTACACCCTGGGGTCCACACAGGGTACACCCAGGGGTCCACACAGGGTACACCCAGGGGTCCACACAGGGTACACCCAGGGGTCCACACAGGGTACACCCTGGGGTCCACACAGGGTACACCCAGGGGTCCACACAGGGTACACCCAGGGGTCCACACAGGGTACACCCAGGGGTCCACACAGGGTACACCCAGGGGTCCACACAGGGTACACCCAGGGGTCCACACAGGGTACACCCAGGGGTCCACACATGGTCCACACAGGGTACACCCAGGGGTCCACACAGGGTACACCCAGGGGTCCACACATGGTCCACACAGGGTACACCCAGGGGTCCACACAGGGTACACCCAGGGGTCCACACATGGTCCACACAGGGTACAGCCAGTGGTCCACACAGGGTACACCCAGGGGTCCACACAGGGTACACCCTGGGGTCCACACAGGGTACACCCAGGGGTCCACACAGGGTACACCCAGGGGTCCACACATGGTCCACACAGGGTACACCCAGGGGTCCACACAGGGTACACCCAGGGGTCCACACATGGTCCACACAGGGTACACCCTGGGGTCCACACAGGGTACACCCAGGGGTCCACACAGGGTACACCCTGGGGTCCACACAGGGTACACCCTGGGGTCCACACAGGGTCCACACAGGGTACACCCTGGGGTCCACACAGGGTACACCCAGGGGTCCACACAGGGTACACCCAGGGGTCCACACATGGTCCACACAGGGTACACCCAGGGGTCCACACAGGGTACACCCAGGGGTCCACACAGGGTACACCCTGGGGTCCACACAGGGTACACCCAGGGGTCCACACAGGGTACACCCAGGGGTCCACACATGGTCCACACAGGGTACACCCTGGGGTCCACACAGGGTACACCCAGGGGTCCACACATGGTCCACACAGGGTACACCCTGGGGTCCACACAGGGTACACCCAGGGGTCCACACAGGGTACACCCAGGGGTCCACACAGGGTACACCCCGGGGTCCACACATGGTCCACACAGGGTACACCCTGGGGTCCACACAGGGTACACCCAGGGGTCCACACATGGTTAACCCTGGGGTCCACACAGGGTACACCCAGGGGTCCACACAGGGTACACCCAGGGGTCCACACAGGGTACACCCAGGGGTCCACACAGGGTACACCCTGGGGTCCACACAGGGTACACCCAGGGGTCCACACAGGGTACACCCAGGGGTCCACACAGGGTACACCCAGGGGTCCACACAGGGTACACCCAGGGGTCCACACAGGGTACACCCAGGGGTCCACACAGGGTACACCCAGGGGTCCACACAGGGTACACCCAGGGGTCCACACAGGGTACACCCAGGGGTCCACACAGGGTACACCCAGGGGTCCACACAGGGTACACCCAGGGGTCCACACAGGGTACACCCAGGGGTCCACACATGGTCCACACAGAGTACACCCAGGGGTCCACACATGGTCCACACAGGGTACACCCAGGGGTCCACACAGGGTACACCCAGGGGTCCACACAGGGTACACCCAGGGGTCCACACAGGGTACACCCAGGGGTCCACACAGGGTACACCCAGGGTCCACACAGGGTACACCCAGGGGTCCACACAGGGTACACCCAGGGGTCCACACAGGGTACACCCAGGGTCCACACAGGGTACACCCAGGGGTCCACACAGGGTACACCCTGGGGTCCACACAGGGTACACCCAGGGGTCCACACAGGGTCCACCCAGGGGTCCACACAGGGTACACCCAGGGGTCCACACAGGGTACACCCAGGGGTCCACACAGGGTACACCCAGGGGAGGGGGGGGTGATGGAGCATAAATCCGCTAAGCTGCTAAGCGGATTATATGTGTTGCCATTCAGAGAACATGACATTTCATTAGGATTAGTTTATCCAAGACGCCTGGCTGAGTAAACTTCATTATTCCTTTATCCTATCTTGCATATACACTCCCCATTATACATCCTTCATCATGCAACCCCCCCCCCCATCTTGCATATACACTCCCCATTATACATCCTTCATCATGCAACCCCCCCCCCCACCTATCTTGCATATACACTCCCCATTATACATCCTTCATCATGCAACCCCCCCCCCCCACCTATCTTGCATATACACTCCCCATTATACATCCTTCATCATGCAACCCCCCCCCCATCATGCAACCCCCCCCCCCATCATGCAACCCCCCCCCCCCCCATCCCCGGAATTATACATTCCCCGTCAAGCATTTATAGCGATAATAAATAGTTTAGTGGCGACGAATGGCATCGATTACATTAGCTTGGCCAGAAAACTAGTTTAGGCGCGCGGTCAGTTACCCTTGAGACACCGAGGTGGGGAGTTAGTCGCCTGGGTTCCCTAAACTGGTATGTTGCTTCTTGTTTGTTTGGTGAGAAGTTTGGGCTTTACATGTAATCAAATTGTGTGAAGGTCCCAGAATCCTCGCATTCTCTAATAACCACATTTTTAGGTCGGATTTTATTAACAAAGTCCAAATGGTCGTTAATTCTTCTTTTTTATTTATTTATGTATACAAGAGTTTTTACAATCTTGTACAGCCACTAGCAAGCATAGCGTTTTGGGCAGGTCCTTAATCCTAATGTTTCTTGCATACACATCCCAGGAAGCAGCCTGTAGCAGCTGTCTAACTCAGGTACCTGTTTACTGCTAGGTGAACAGAGCCATCAAGGTGAAAGAAACTCTGCCCATTTGTTTCCACCTCCACCAGGGGATGAACTTGGATCCTTAGGATTATGAACCCCCGAGCGCTGTCCACTCAGCTGTCAGGTCCCGCTCTTTGCGATACGTTCAGTTTTTCATGAAGGTTTGTCCTCCCGATGACTGACTGCATGAGTGATGATGTTGAAAGATGTGGCACTCATGGAGATGCATCAATGTTCAGATGTTGGAAGTTATCGATGTCTTCCATGGTGCCAAAGATTGTGGTGTGTGGCAAGTCAGCCTGGGGAGTGACTTGGGTAAGGCGTGCTAAGTTATTTAGTAGAGTATGCTGGTGGTGGATCTTGTGGCAATTGATGGTAGTTGATTCTGACTTTAGCACTCAGCTTTCTTCTTGTTGCTGGTAGATTTCAGCGATCCCGGATCGTCGGTCTTCGATGGCTTCTTAGAAGTCTTCGTGGTCTGACTACCTGTTGTTGTTATAGCGGTGCTTTCCTTGGCTGTTGAAGGCCTGGTGTCCTGCAGAAAGTCTTCAGGAGTGTAGTCTATCTTCCGTAGAGGAGGTAATTGTGTACCAACTGATCCCTCCTCATCCGACGAATCAGCTGCGTCAGAAGCCAAGGCGGTGTATCATGAGTAGTATCAGCAGGTCCCGCAGATGTATTAGTAGGTACAGCGAGCGCACACTCTCTTTAGGTGGAACTGTATCAACTGTCGTCGGATGTTCTGATGTCTTCTCCTGGGCCGGGTTGGTGCCTGGATACTTCACAAAGTACGCAGGTTCAATAATGGCTGGGTGAATTAATTCAATATCCCCACTGTGGTATATAGTCTCAGCTTCGACTTATCTCCAGGGGCGCTCCAAATCCTCCATTTGGAGTCCCTTCTCATATTTTTCATTCAAATCCCTGGTCATGCATCCTCTTATTTCAGGAGAGCTCCTGAGGTTGATGGCGTCGGTGACATAGATGATGTCGACGATGTCTTCGTTGGGGACGATCAGCGGTCAGAGTCCTTAGCAGGAGGCGGCTTGGCAGGTGAAGTCTGGCATGGGAGCAGACTTTTTGGGAGGAGAGGTTCTGGGTCTAATGGAAAGTCATCCGCAGCTGGAATAGAGGGTGCATGTGGCGTATCGGTGGTGGGTGATTCTGGAGGCACGATGGTAGACTGTTCAGCTGTGGCAGGCGTGGTCAGGATATCACCAAGTGCAGCAGTGCTCACAGAGATGTCAAGATAAGGAAGTTTTGAAATTCCAGAAGCAGAGGTGGTAACGATTTCCTTAGGTACTGTAATGATCGGGAGGCCGTTCACAGCAAAGAGTACATTAAGGATTCTCACGAATTCCTGGTAGTTGGATCCAGCAATGTTGTCAGCAAGAAATGTTCAAGCATGTACAGTGCTGTGGTCAGTGGAAGTAGCCGACAACTGCCGTGGTGAAGCTTGGGCCCCATTTACTGTGTGACTGCTTCTCCTCCTCCACATGCTCCTGGTTGCTGGACTGGTTGATCAGTCCAGCAACCAGGAGGCCTGGTCGACGACCGGATCGCAGGGACGCTAAGCCCCGGAAGCACCTCAAGGTAAGGTAACCTCCTCCTCCAATTGCCCTCAGACGTTGAATGATGACCAGTGCGGTGAGATGTGAGGCCTCTCTGTCATCAGTTATCTTCTTAATTTCATCCATTTGTCGATAGCCGAGGAGCACTGGAGTCCTTAAACAGTCGAAACCCAGTCTTCATGTCTATAGTGGAGGACTGTAAGAGAAGAATAACTGAGATACAGCTGAAAGGTTATAGTGTGAAATTCATGTGGATTCCATCTCATGTTGGAATAGTGCTCAATGAGGTGGCGGATGACTTGGCCAAACGTGCCACATCAAAACCACAAGTTGACATTGAATGTGAATTCACAATGAGACAAATAAGAAGCAAAATCAGAAATATTCAGGCACAGGCGGGAGTGGAGAAGAGAGAGATAATGTATGAGAGTTGTCAAACCATGCAACACTACATGTATGTGAGTCAAAACACCCATTTCACTTATGGTAAAAGGAGAAATGCTTGGAGTGACTCTGTGTACATGCGGCTCAGGCTTGGGTACAAATATTACTGGGAATATGGGATAGATGTTCATGATAATGACACGAAGTGTAAACTATGTGGTATGTTAAGGTCTCACACCCTTGCCCATTATATTCTTGATTGTCCGTTGATTAATGTATATAGAAACACTGAGATAAGGACTGTTCCTGAACAAATAGCCTGGATGTGTCACAACGGAAAGGTTGATGATATTCTTGAGAGATATAAGAATTTTGCACCAAGATTGTAATATTTTGTTGAATTATCTGCAGGTGTCTTGCAAATTGTCTATACAGTATACCTAGGTCATAAAAGTATTTGTGTGTACGTCTGATACCATACTCCTTGTGAAGGAGGAAATGTATATTTTTACCTCTCAGAATGTTTGGCAATGTGTTTATTTGTGATGTGTGTCTATGTATATATTAACACGTTGTACTGAATGGGGTGAGAATAGCTTGAGCTACCTCATCCCTTTGTGTGTATTTTACCTCAATAAACTTATTTCAATTTCAATTTCAATCCTGGCGCATGGGACACAGATAAGATTTTGGGCACTTACTGATCTGATGAAAGTACTAGTAGCACTTAAAACACTCGTAATGGCATTCCTTATGCACTGAAGTGGGTGGTGCGGTGACACCGAAGCACTTCAATCCTAAGGTGGTGACCAGGTCTGCTGTGTGGTGTGTCGGATTTACAGTTGAGTGGTGTGGATATATAGGCAGGGATGAGCTGAGGTGACAAACAATGTCTTTAATGAGATAATGGGATATTAATAAGGTATTTATTATTCAGATAAATGGGTTTCAATGATCCCACTCAAATCGACCTTTAAATGATCAATCAAAAACAGATCTAAATAACAAAGACCACTACTAATGTTCAAATTACATGATTTTGTAATCCGTACTAAAGCAGATTCAATTCAGATTCAGAGTTTGCAGTTTGTATTAAAGCAGATTCGATAATTTTTCTATTGAAAATGCTTTTACGCCACGTCATTGCGTTACCAGTCTCTGTGACGCAGTGGTTAGACACTCACCTCGCGCTTTACAAGTGTTTTGTCCTGGGTTCGTATCCTGGCCGGGGAGGATTGACTGGGCGCCAATCCTTAACTGTAGCCTCTGTTCACCCAGCAGTGAATGGGTACCTGGGTGTTAAACGATTTATTATTCCCGAACGGCGAGTCGTATTCCGGGGAAAATTAGGATTAAGAACTTGCCCGAAACACTGTGTGTGCTGGTGGCTGTACAAGAATGTAACAACTCTTGTATATATAAATAAATAAAATAAATAAGATAAAAACAGTTTTTTGAAGTTTGCCATAACACAGGACGTCGTACAATTATAATAATATATGCAAAGAGAAAATTCGCCCCAAAAATGTGTTTATCATATTTTTCTGGGTTCGGAAATATTGTCAAGGCCTTGGAACTTGTTTATATACATGTGTTGTTTAATTACGAAAATACTGCTGGAAAACTATTAGTTAGAAACATTCCTTCTAGTGGTAATTGTCATTTACAAAATACGTTGTAAAGACTGTAATAGGTTCTATGTTGGGCAAACATCCACAGATTTGAAATTTAGAATTTCGCAACATACTCTGTAAGACACGGTCAATTGTCTAATGCTTTGTTCATTTGTCAAAACGTTCTCACCAAACTGATTGGGAGATGGCTTCTGTTATCTATCCTAGTTCAGCATGGCTCGTGTACCTGTCAGCATGGGTAATATCTGTCTGTTCAGATAACATCTGAGCAGACATCTGAATCTGAATCTGATTTTGTACGGATTACAAAATCATGTAATTTGAACATTAGTTGTGGTCTGTATAATTTAGATCTATTTTTTGATTGATCATTTAAAGGTCGATACGAGTGGGATCATTGAAACCCATTTATCTCAATAATACCTTATTAATATCCCATTATCTCATTAAAGACATTATTTCTCACCTTAGCTCATTCCTGCCTATATGTCCACACCACTCAACTGTAACTCCATCCTTCTTAAAATATATTATTAAATATGAAAGTACTTAAGGAAATTCCTGTCTTAATCCTTCTTTCGTGGTCTGACATTGTCACTTTGTTCGTCACGTGTTAATTTCTTCGTGATTTACACACACACACACACATATATATGTTTATATATGTACCTGTGTATCTAGCATTAACAATTGTGTAACTACCTTCACAAGATTGTCACTTGCTTAGCTAAACGAACTCTGTGGTTCAGTTCCTGAACCCATTATGTGCCTCTGTAACCCTTTCCACCCCCCCCACCCCCAACCCACAGAATGGGTATGGGGTGCATAATAAATAAATGAATTTGAAAACGTGTTTATCTGCAGTAGAGAAGGTGACCATGGCGACGCCCAGAGGACCGCGGGAGATGACTCCTGACTACTTCATCCTCACGCCTCCACCTCTCACTATCTTCATCGCCTCGGGACTCATCATGATGGGGGTGAGTCACTCTCCGCTGATGGGCGGTGATGGTGATACTGATGAATGGTGTTGATGGGTGGTGATGTTAAATGATACTGATGGTTGATGGAGTGTCTGATGGATAAGTGATGGTGAAGGTGGATAATGGTGATATGTGATAGTGATGTGTGTGTATTGAGCAAGACCATCGTTATCTATAATTATGAGTTATAATCTATCATCATCATATGTTTCAGTACCATGTCTGATAATGTAATTATATCATCATATTATATCTTTATGTTTACAAGTCAACTGATGCTCACTGATATTGCTTATCCTGGTCCTCATACCCCAGCTCCTGGTCCTCATACCCCAGTTCCTGGTCCTCATACCCCAGCTCCTGGTCCTCATACCCCAGCTCCTGGTCCCCATACCCCAGCTCCTGGTCCCCATACCCCAGCTCCTGGTCCTCATACCCCAGCTCCTGGTCCCCCATACCCCAGCTCCTGGTCCCCATACCCCAGCTCCTGGTCCTCATACCCCAGCTCCTGGTCCTCATACCCCAGCTCCTGGTCCTCATACCCCAGCTCCTGGTCCTCATACCCCAGGTCCTGGTCCTCATACCCCAGGTCCTGGTCCTCATACCCCAGCTCCTGGTCCCCATACCCCAGCTCCTGGTCCCCATACCCCAGCTCCTGGTCCCCATACCCCAGCTCCTGGTCCCCATACCCCAGCTCCTAGTCCTCATACCCCAGCTCCTGGTCCTCATACCCCAGCTCCTGGTCCCCATACCCCAGCTCCTGGTCCCCATACCCCAGCTCCTGGTCCCCATACCCCAGCTCCTGGTCCCCATACCCCAGTTCCTGGTCCTCATACCCCAGCTCCTGGTCCTCATACCCCAGCTCCTGGTCCCCATACCCCAGCTCCTGGTCCCCATACCCCAGCTCCTGGTCCCCATACCCCAGCTCCTGGTCCTCATACCCCAGCTCCTGGTCCTCATACCCCAGCTCCTGGTCCCCATACCCCAGCTCCTGGTCCCCATACCCCAGCTCCTGGTCCCCATACCCCAGCTCCTGGTCCTCATACCCCAGCTCCTGGTCCTCATACCCCAGCTCCTGGTCCTCATACCCCAGCTCCTGGTCCTCATACCCCAGCTCCTGGTCCTCATACCCCAGCTCCTGGTCCTCATACCCCAGCTCCTGGTCCCCATACCCCAGCTCCTGGTCCTCATACCCCAGCTCCTGGTCCTCATACCCCAGCTCCTGGTCCCCATACCCCAGCTCCTGGTCCTCATACCCCAGCTCCTTGTCCTCATACCCCAGCTCCTGGTCCCCATACCCCAGCTCCTGGTCCCCATACCCCAGCTCCTGGTCCTCATACCCCAGCTCCTGGTCCCCATACCCCAGCTCCTGGTCCTCATACCCCAGCTCCTGGTCCTCATACCCCAGCTCCTGGTCCTCATACCCCAGCTCCTGGTCCCCATACCCCAGCTCCTGGTCCTCATACCCCAGCTCCTGGTACTCATACCCCAGCTCCTGGTCCTCATACCCCAGCTCCTGGTCCTCATACCCCAGCTCCTGGTCCTCATACCCCAGCTCCTGGTCCTCATACCCCAGCTCCTGGTCCTCATACCCCAGCTCCTGGTCCTCATACCCCAGCTCCTGGTCCTCATACCCCAGCTCCTGGTACTCATACCCTAGCTCCTGGTCCTCATACCCCAGCTCCTGGTCCTCATACCCCAGCTCCTGGTCCTCATACCCCAGCTCCTGGTCCCCATACCCCAGCTCCTGGTCCCCATACCCCAGCTCCTGGTCCCCATACCCCAGCTCCTGGTCCTCATACCCCAGCTCCTGGTCCTCATACCCCAGCTCCTGGTCCCCATACCCCAGCTCCTGGTCCCCATACCCCAGCTCCTGGTCCCCATACCCCAGCTCCTGGTCCTCATACCCCAGCTCCTGGTCCTCATACCCCAGCTCCTGGTCCTCATACCCCAGCTCCTGGTCCTCATACCCCAGCTCCTGGTCCTCATACCCCAGCTCCTGGTCCTCATACCCCAGCTCCTTGTCCTCACACTGATGACTTTTTCTCTCTCCCGTGTTCGTAGTTGACGTGGCAGTGTCCGGAAGTGTTCGAACACCCGCTCCTCGGCCCGTTCGGACAGCTCCTGGCCTGGCTTGGTGCCCATCACAACGCCTTGGTCAGACTGGTGTACGTAGCGGCGCCTCTTGGGCACTGTTGTTTGTGACTCCTAGGGTCATGGGTAGTGTATATGTGCTTGTGTCATTCTTCCTCCCTCACACACCTGCCTCCCTCCCACACACACACACACACCTGCCTCCCTCCCACACACACACACACCTGCCTCCCTCCCTCACACACACACACACCTGCCTCCCTCCCACACACACACACACACACCTGCCTCCCTCCCACACACACACCTGCCTCCCTCCCACACACACAAACACACACCTGCCTCCCTCCCTCACACACACACACACACACAATGTTTCAAATCTCCCTTATAAGTATAAATCTCACGAAGAAAGATACAGATGAAAATATAATTACTTTCTCTAGCCAGGAGAAAAGTTAGGGGCGAGGTGATGAAAGTATAGAAGTGGATGAACGGACACGACAAAGGGGTCGATAGTGTTGAGTGAAGCGGCACACACAACAGAACACAGAATCTGTGGTCCCGGGTTCTATCCCAGGCGCCGGAGAGAAATGATGGGCAGAGTTTCTTTCACCCTATGCCCCTGTTACCTAGCAGTAAATAGGTACCTGGGAGTTAGTCAGCTGCCACGGGCTGCTTCCCGGGGTATGTGTGGTGTGGAAAAAAAAGGTGGTAGTAGAGACAGTTGAGAGGCGAGCTGGCCATCCCACAGGCCAGCAGGCACTGACAGCTGGCCATCCCACAGACCAACAGGCACTGACAGCTGGCCCTCCCACAGACCAACAGGCACTGACAGCTGGCCCTCCCACAGACCAACAGGCACTGACAGCTGACCCTCCCACAGACCAACAGGCACTGCCAGCTGGCCATCCCACAGACCAACAGGCACTGACAGCTGACCCTCCCACAGACCAACAGGCACTGACAGCTGGCCCTCCCACAGACCAACAGGCACTGACAGCTGACCCACAGACCAACAGGCACTGACAGCTGGCCATCCCACAGACCAACAGGCACTGACAGCTGGCCATCCCACAGACCAGCACTGACAGCTGGCCCTCCCACAGACCAACAGGCACTGACAGCTGGCCCTCCCACAGACCAACAGGCACTGACAGCTGGCCATCCCACAGACCAGCACTGACAGCTGGCCCTCCCACAGACCAACAGACACTGACAGCTGGCCCTCCCACAGACCAACAGGTACTGACAGCTGGCCCTCCCACAGGTTCGTGCCGACAGTGGTGGTGCACGTGCTGGAGGTGGTGTGGGCGGTGTGTGTGTGTCGGGGGCGCCTGGGCCTCACCCGCTGCACCACGACATGCTGGGCTCTTCAGATCAGCGTGGTGGGTATATTCTCCCTCAGGTACCTCATCTGGCCGCTGGAGGACGCCCGCCACGCCTCCAGAAGTAAGAAGGAGGCCTAGGGTGTAGGCCTAGTGTGTCGGCCTAGGGGGTAAGCCTGGGTCACCTAGAGCCGTCAGTATTAATATGGTTATTATAAGCCTAATAATATGGATCATGTCAAAAATACTTTGCGTATTAGTGGTTGTATGCAATATACAATTTAACTTAACAAACAACTATAACAAGTACTAATGCATATTGTATAAATAAAAAATATTACTACAGTTTAAATGTAGAATAACTCATTACAAAAAAAATCCTCGGGGGAATAACGGGGAACCATCGACATGCCAACGGTTTCCTGTCCCCGTCGAGGCCACTACAGGCACGACGGCCCTTAGCCAGCAAAGTGATGAATCCACCCACGTCAACACGTAGTGAATGGTGAGTAGCCGCGCCCATCCGCGGACTGTCAACAGCAACTCTTCAAAGAATATCAACCTGTCTATCCATCCCCCTCCGTGGTGTCGCCTTGTCGTGGCGAGGGGCTCACGTACACCTCCCTGAGACTGGTGAGGGTTGCCTTCGCTCCCTCTCCTGCCCCTTCTTCGGGTGGTGTACGTGCAGAAGGGCACCACGTAGTGGCCTTGTGAATCATCGGACTGCCCGCTGCAGGGGTCGCCCGTGAGGGGACGCCCCTGAGTGGATGGTTGGGTGGCCAGGCTGGAGGGATGGGGGTCTTAGCACCAGTGTGGGAGAATGGACAATGCAGTAGGACTCCCCTGTTGAAAAGGGGGAAGCACCACTGGGGACGACACACCCTTCCTGCACTGCCCCGCGCTCGCCCTGGCTGCCCTGGTAGATGGTATCTCTTAGTTCCAGGTCCCAGACTGTTAAAAATGATTGCTTTATGGATGACGACACGACTTCTCTTACCCAGGCTCATGGGGTGGGCGACCAGTCCCGTGAGTTGGACTGAGGTGGAGAACCGGACTTTGGAGCCTCCGCTACATTGGGCCCAGACCGGACTTCTTCCCCCTCCCCCCCCCCAACCCTTGCTCCCCTCGGTCCCCTGTGGTAGGGTCGAGCCCCAAGCGCCCTGTGGTAGGGTCGAGCCCCAAGCGCCCTGCGGTGACCACCTCGTCCCCTAGCGAGGCTCCGTCTCTCTTTGTGACTACTGCGCCTTATAACCCCTCCCTCTCTCTAGAGAGAGAGAGAGAGGTGTTATAAGGTTATATTCAAGACTGTTCCAAGTGGGTAGAATTCTACCCACTTCAAGACTCCGCTCCAATATAGAAGCATCAAGAAATATGGGCCAATAAAAATAGGCCTTCTGCAGTCACCTACCTTTAATACCCATTTTTCGTGTCCTGTCTTGTGTTAAAAGTTTATTTTCACCTCATCCAAAACTGTTGTAACATGTCACCTCACCCAAATATAGGTATAAAAACTCGAAGATGTTTAAGCTCTATTCAGTTAAAGTTGTGTGTGTGTGTGTAAACTAAAGTCTTTGAAAATGTAATAAGTTTTACGAAACGCGCTCAAGTGTCGCGTCAGACTTGAAATAAAAATTAATTTTGGAGAATTGATTTTTGAATTACTATCAACAGTGAAAAGAAACGTAAGAAAGATCGAGAAAATTCGTGTTAGAATTATTAATCTTACTTTTTCGGTCATATTTAATAATATATATATACAGTATATATATATATATATATATATATATATATATATATATATATATATATATATATATATTTATATATATATATATATATATATATATTTTATATATATATATATATATATATATATATATATATATATATATATATATATATTGAATATGACCGCATATTCTGTATTTATTATTTTCTGGTTTAGGGCTTCTATCCCTCTAACTATTTTCTTAGCATCAGGGCTTAATTGAAATAGGAGTTCTCCAAAACTCATTTTCGTACTTTTAAGGTGAAGAAAAGAAGTGATTTACTATAGAGTATATTACACTTATTTGTATAATTTGCACGACGTTTCGAACCTCCATGGTTCATTCTCAAGTGAACAGATCTTACAATACTAGTTGATTTTATACCCGCATTAGGTCAGGTGATAATACAATGAAGGTGAAAACATGGGGGGATACATAAGGGATAAACATAGGGGCTGCAGAAGGCTTATTGGCCCATACGAGGCATCTCCTATCTAAACACAAAGATTAATCCAGTGTAATTGGCCTGTTATGTTGGACATTGTCTTCTGTGTTGGCATCGATATGTTCTTGTCTTGTCCTTACTCTCATGGTGGGTAGAGTAAATAGTTCCGTGATTTGGGTGTTCATGGTAGGTCGCTCTATTCTTATGTGAATTGCCTCAAGAATTTGTAATCTTCTTGAATCTTGGGTTTTGTCTATTATGCAAGTATTCTTGTTCAACATTTCTCTTGTTAGAGTAATGTCATGGGCTTGTCTCATGTGATTCCTAGGGGCACCAGATTGAAGATGGCATGTCAAACGCCTCGTCAGCTTGGTCGACGTCATACCTATGTACTTACATTGAAGGTTACATCCTTCGTGGGGGCAAGTGTACATGTATACAACGCTTGACTGCTGTAGAGGGTTCTCCGTCGGCTTCGGGCTGTTTTTGATAAGGAGTTCGGAAGTCTTCTTGGTTTTGTAGAATATTATCAGGTTTATGTTTTGGTTAGGAGTAGTGCTTTTTACTCCTTTACGGATTATTTCTTTCATTATTCTTTCCTCTTTTATATGTTCACTGTGCATGGTTGATTTGTAATATAATTTTATTGGGGGTGTTGTGGTTTCTGTTCTAGGTTCTGAATTATACCAACGGTCCAAGTGTCTTCTTATAGCAGCGTTTATTTCCGCGTTGCTATATCCGTTGTTCACCAATACCTGAGTTACTCTTTCAAACTCTCTACTCACGTTGCTCCAGTCAGAGCAGTGGGTAAGCGCTCGACGAATATAAGCATTGAGAACACTGGCTTTGTATCTTTGGGGGCACTCACTTCTACCGTTCAGGCATAATCCTATGTTGGTGGGCTTGGTATATACGTTGGTGCTTAAAGAGGTTCCTGTTTTTGTTATTAGTACATCCAAGAATGGCAGACTGTTATTTTCACTATTTTCATGTGTAAATCGGAGTACTGACTCTCTCTCTAGGTGTCTTTTTAGGTCAATTAGTGCATCTGAGTCTTTTACTATTACGAATATGTCATCTACATAACGGCAGTATACAGTTGGTTTTTGTCTGCTACTGAAGACCCTATCTTCGATGGTTCCCATATAAAAATTAGCAAATAAAACTCCTAAGGGGGAGCCCATTGCTACTCCGTCTATTTGTAAATACATGTCTCCTTGTGGACTGATGAAAGGGGCTTCCTTTGTACATGCTTCGAGAAGACTTTTCAAGTGTGGCTCAGGTATGTCTAATTTGGGGGTGCTCTCGTCTCTGTAGGATTATGTATATTAAATTTCGTATATTAAATACATCTTCAGAAGGACCTTCTGAAGATGTATTTAATATACGAAAGTACTTAAGGAAATTCCTGTTTCATTTTTCCTCCGTGGTCTGACATTGTCACATTCTTAATCACGTGTTTATTTTCGTGATATACACACACATATATATATATATATATATATATATATATATATATATATATATATATATATATATATATATATATATATATCATTGAATATGACCGCATATTCTGTATTTATTATTTTCTGGTTTAGGGCTTCTATCCCTCTAACTATTTTCTTAGCATCAGGGCTTAATTGGAATAGGAGTTCTCCAAAACTCATTTTCGTACTTTTAAGGTGAAGAAAAGAAGTGATTTACTATAGAGTGTATTACACTTATTTGTATAATTTGCACGACGTTTCGAACCTCCATGGTTCATTCTCAAGTGAACAGATCTTACAATACTAGTTGATTTTATACCCGCATTAGGTCAGGTGATAATACAATGAAGGTGAAAAACATGGGGGGATACATAAGGGATAAACATAGGGGCTGCAGAAGGCTTATTGGCCCATACGAGGCATCTCCTATCTAAACACAAAGATTAATCCAGTGTAATTGGCCTGTTATGTTGGACATTGTCTTCTGTGTTGGCATCGATATGTTCTTGTCTTGTCCTTACTCTCATGGTGGGTAGAGTATGAAGGTGAAAAACATGGGGGGATACATAAGGGATAAACATAGGGGCTGCAGAAGGCTTATTGGTCCATACGAATTTTCCCTTATGTATCCCCCCATGTTTTTCACCTTCATTGTATTATCACCTGACCTAATGCGGGTATAAAATCAACTAGTATTGTAAGATCTGTTCACTTGAGAATGAACCATGGAGGTTCGAAACGTCGTGCAAATTATACAAATAAGTGTAATACACTCTATAGTAAATCACTTCTTTTCTTCACCTTAAAAGTACGAAAATGAGTTTTGGAGAACTCCTATTCCAATTAAGCCCTGATGCTAAGAAAATAGTTAGAGGGATAGAAGCCCTAAACCAGAAAATAATAAATACAGAATATGCGGTCATATTCAATGAAACATGTTTGAAAGAAAACCTGCTGCCAGTATACACCAATATATATATATATATATATATATATATATATATATATATATATATATATATATATATATATATATATATATATATATATATATATATATATATATATATAAAGCAACATGGATCAAGATATACAGAAGGGACTTAAATTCCGCCACTAGGAAAATCAGATCAGCCTAAGGAAACTAGGAAAGAAAACTTGCTCAAGATGTGTGGGAAATAACCACATCAATTATAAAATGAATTCAATATGCTGGAAATCACTGTCGTTTTGTGTCATGTTACGAAAGAATAAATATTTTAGTTAGTCATAAAAGAAACAGGAAATGATGACTCTTGAATAGAAAACGGGGTTAACGTACCCTACGTCGACTATATCTCGTTCTCAAAATGTTTCTGACTAATTTAATATAAAATCCACAGTCTCAGAGCTGGTAGCCCAATTCAACTATCTCATTTAATTATACATTCAATAACAATATGAGAGTACACAACACCCTCTTTATCCTTCTCGATAAAATTCTCACCTGGAGGTGAGGCGCGAGGAGGGAGAGAGACCATTGTGGTCAAGTACACTGAACATGGCACAGTTGACACGTGACGGGGTAGTTGAGCCGACGCTGGCCTACCACAGTCACCACAACCTCTACCACCAAGTTATATACTGCAGCGTGACTCACAACAAAGAAACGGAGTCACTATATATTTGTTGTCACAACTTGCACGACAACGGAAAGGGCTAATTTCGGTTTATTGTAGTTCAGATTAGTTGGTGGATGACTGAGTGTCTTAGACTAATCATCAGGGCGGATGACAACCCCCTCAAGACTAAGAGTCTCGAATTAATTTACATTTATGTGCTACAGTTGAGGTATATCTGTTCTTGCTATAGATGTCTCTATATAGATGTATATAATGCTATAGATGTTTACCAGTCTCCGTGGCGTAGTGGTAAGACACTCGCTTGGTGTTCCGCGAGTGCTTTATCCTGGGTTCGTATCCTGGCCGGGGAGGATTTACTGGGCGCAAATCCTTAACTGTAGCCTCTGTTTAACTCAA